TCGTCGTCTTGTTGGAACATCTGAAGGTAGACCTCTAAGTATGAGAACACCTGAAATTGAGGAAGCAGTGCTTCACGAAGTCGAAGAACATGCTGAAACGACTACGAGGAAGATCGCTAGACACTTAAATATTTGCCATCAAATTGTTTGGGGAATTTTAGTGGATTTTTTGTTATATCCTTACCATATTTTAAGGGTACAGGCATTACTTCCCATTGATTTTCCAAGGCGTGTGACCTTTTGTCAGTGGTGTCTTCAAAAAATTACACAAAATCCGTAATTTGAATCAATGATTCTGTTTACGGACGAAGCTATTTTTTCTCGAAATGCCATTCAGAATTTCCACAATAATCATTTGTGGGCAGAAGAAAATCCCTATGCCGTAACCGAAACCCATTTCCAACACCAATTTTCGGTTAACGTATGGGCAGGAATTATTGGCAACCACTTTATTGGCCCATTCTTCTTGTCGGGACGACTTGACGGACAGACTTACCTCAATTTTGAGTATGATATGATGAGTTGAATGATAGTGCACCAGCGCATTTCAGTGTAGCGGTTCGTAATTGTTTACAACTGTTTATCCAAATCGTTGGATTGGCCGCGGTGGGCCCCCAGAATGGCCACCAAGGTCCCCAGACCTCAACAGTTTAGATTTCTTTTTGTGGAGCTATCTTAAGACACTAGTATACACAAATCCCATTAACACTGTAGAGGAATTAAGAGAAAGAATAGTTGCAGCTTGTGATAGAATAAAAAACACTCCAGGGATAATTCAACGAGTGCGCAATTCCATGAGAAGGAGGGCGGAAGCATGCATGCTAAGTGGTGGGGGCCATTTCCAACAATTTTTGTAAACATTTCGGTAGTTTTAATGTTATGTTCATATTGTCAGTTGTTGTTGTTGTTGTTTAGTACCTCTAATGTGTTTAATTTTTCCAATTAAATGAATAATAATTTTGCAAGTTAGACAATTGAACGGTTTGTATTTTTTTACTCAAAAATAGCGTATCGAAGAGAAGCAACTTAAGAGAGATCATTTGCTTTAAATTGAACGAGGAATTTAAAAATAATTTTAATTTGGCAAAAAACCATTGGCATACCATTTTTTTCTTAAAAAATATCGAAGTCAATACCCATACGCACGCCAATGTTAAAGCTAAAAATTGTTTTTGCATTGGAAAATATGCAACTTTATTAACTTTCACTAGGTACTGAATATCAGTGAAATATCTCAAGCGGTTCTGAAAATATTAATTAATTTCCGTTTTTTTTTCCTAAAACTTCAACACCCCGAGTTTTTGTAAGGGAACATTTTTGGACCATAGTTTATAAAGCAAACTAACATTAATTTTTCATGTAGATTCACACCCTTAAATATTCGCATATCATTAAGGAACACCCTGTATATTGAAATTATTTCAATTAAACTCTTCCAGCTTTACGAATTTCCCATATTCCGAGCACTCTCTAATATCAAACTGATAAAACATTTACATCAGTTTATATCCGAAATTCAGATAATTCACTGTAACACGGTTACGATAGACTTTCATATTGTTCTGGTTGTAATCAGTTCGCCAAGTTGTTCACAAAGACCAAGGAAACTTTGCGCAATGCTTGCATCGTTACATGCTTTACGACCAATAAAGACAAAGGTTAATAGATACCGTACGGACAGACAGAACCAACGTAAATATAAAATACCGTAAAATACGGACAAGCCAGGTTTAGGGTACCGGCAATTGACCCGTGGTTCATCACTTTTACTCCACACACCCGAAAATTATTATTATTACAAAATATAAATGAATAGAGTACAAAACCATAAGCGCATGTACAGGGTAGCCCACTAAGAAAGCGAGGTACTGTAACTTATTACTAAAACGGCCAAGACAAAAACCTGAAAAATATTTTCAAGTTTCTGAAATGGTCGTTATGGAGCGTAACTGCAATCTTGAATCTAAGAAAGTGATGAATAAGTTTTGTTAGTTTCACAAGTGGCCGCTTGAGGGTTTTTCGACATTCCAACAGAAATGGTTAATTTTCTCAAAAAATTAAATGCCTGGGTACAATTTTGTTTTTATGAAAAAGTAGCTAAATGATGTCTACATAAGCTCACGAAAACAGCAACTCGATATCTTGCCTAAAATTTAGGACAAAGAAAATTTTATACGGAAAACCCTTAAATTTTTATTTTTCTGGAATTCTTTTTAACATACAAATAATAATAAATATAAAAATTAAAATAGATGACTATAAACACAAACAGTTCATAGCTATAAAGTTTGTTCACTGCTCCACCTATCGTAATGAAGTTTGAAGGTATTGACAGTCGTAGCATTAACTTTTAAATTATGTAATAAAATTTGATTCACAATAAACTTTACAAGCTTCATATATTTATAGTAAAAAAACTTACGGAAGTCGGTTGTAATCTTCTAGGAGACCAGCAAAAATAACTTACCTAAAACAAAACAAATATATGTTATTTAATAATAGTAATTAGAAAATTATTTTTACAATAATTTATGAACATACTCTTGTCACACTGGAGACAAGATATTAGCGGTAAGTAAAATTTAAGGCAAATTATGTGCGTATTTGTTTGTCAAATATGCCTGTTTATCTGTTCCCAAGACATCGATAGCAATGGTCCTCAGATAATAGTTACCTTCTTACTACTATACTTGATGACAAATTTAAAGACACGTCGTATCAAGCATCTTAAACTGTAGACTGTAGAATAAGAATTTTCAATAATAATCCGCCATTTAGATTTTCTAAAGTTTTAGTATCCCCAGTCTCACCAGCACTGTCCAGACAAATCTAGAGACACCTCATATGCCAGAATAAATCAAACGTCTTAAACTGTAACTCGTAGAACAGCAACTTCAAAGTTGAAATCCGCTACGTTGATTTTAAGAATACCTAGTGCCGCTTACGCTGTCAAGTCAGATCTAGATAAAACTTCATACGTTTCAGCTGTAGCCTGTGAAATAGGAATTTTAAGGTTGATTTTTTTATTAAATTGAAGAGCTTTCAATTTTCGATCGACAAATGTGAAGCTGATTATAGCGGAATTAATACAAAAATGAAAAAAATTGTAAGAATTTCTTAAACATTATAAAAAAATCCACGTTATAGCAAAAAATGGAAAGCGTATCTAGATCCAGCATGTTAACGCTTCATATACATTATATTTTATTTGATCAGGATTTCGTTGCTTACCAGTGCAATGAGGAACAATCTATCAAAATAGGCTTTTCTTTACTTGTTCAATTCGTCACTCTATAAATACGAATGTGGGACACGTTTATTCGTTTCCTGAATCTTGAAAAGGAAAGTGCTAAGAAAATATTTTAAAAAATATAAACAGATAGTATATCACACAAATTATACTGAGTCAGTGTTATTTGGTTTGAGAGTGGTGGAGAAAAGTAAGTACATTATTTTTTATTAAATTTTAGTTTTGTACTCTTAGTTAGCAAAGATAGATAAATTACGCCAATCATGACTTTAGTTATTAGTAGTTAAATATTCAATCAAAATTACACGAGTACTCCTCAATAGTTTCTTTTTGAAAGTTTTAGCAATCGATAATATAATTACAGTGCAATCTCCGTAATTCGAGCTAATTGTTGCAAGAAGATGTTCGAATTATGGAATGTTTTCGGAAAAATCAAAAAATATTTTTAATATACAGCTGCTGGATTTTCTGTCTTATTTAAATAATTTAATTTTGCCCACAGATGACTGATGCCATGTCCGAATCTAAAAAGAAATGTAGACAGTACAGTCTTGATTATTTGAAATTTGGCTTCATTCCATCATTGCCGGACAAACAATCGCCTATGTACCTTTTCTGCAACAAAGTTTTGGGCAATGACGCTATGAAACCATCTAAACTGCAAGATCATCTGAGAAGATGCCACCCTGATAAAACAGAGAAAGATTTGAAATACTTTCAAACAATCAAAGATAAATTTCAGAAGAGACCTACACTGGACAGAATGTTCGCTTCGACGTCACAAAGAAATGATGATGGTTTGCGGGCGTCTTACAATATCTCGTTACTTATAGCAAAATCCGGAAAACCGCATACTATCGGAAAGAAGTTAATTTTGCCAGCCGTTGAAGAGGTTTTAAAAACTGTTTTACACAAACCTGCATCTGATATCATTAAAAGAATTCCCTTAAGCAACAATACTGTTGAAAGACGTATTGATGAAATGAGTTCTGATATTGAAAGCTTCTGATGTAATTATTTGCAAACGACCCATTTCTCTATACATCTGGACGAGTCAACTTTACCTGATAATGCAAAATTACTATTGGCATATGTTCTTTTTATTATGAATCAAGAAATCTACGAAGAACTGCTCTTCGCAAGAACTTTGATAATCGACACTAAAGGTGAATCAATATTTCATGTTTTGAAGGATTACTTCATTGAAAAAGCAATTCCTTTATCAAATATAATATCAGTAGCTACAGCACCTGCCATGGTTGGACGTTATCGTGGATTTATAAGCTATTTAAAACAAAATGTGACAGGGGTGTTAGCAATACATTGCGTCGTCCATCGACAACATTTAGTTGCTAAAAATTTGAGTGTTAGATTGCATGAATCACTTCATTTACTGATTGATGCAGTAAACCGAATCCGAAGCAACGCGTTGAATACGCGGTTATTTGCGCAGTTGTGTGAAGAAAATGACGAACACTTTCATCAATTACTCCTTCACACTGAAGTACGCTGGCTGTCGAAAGGCTTATGTTTGACAAGATTTTTTGCACTTTTTGAGACTATTTTAGAATTTCTGGATACTAAAGATAAAATTTTAAAAGAAAATTTAATGAAGAGGAAAACAGACATCGCATATTTAACAGATTTGTTTACAAAATTTAATATGGTTAATTTGCAATTATAAGGCGACAGTTTAAACTTGATTAAAACAAAGTCCATCTTATCAGCGTTTCTTGCCAGAGTTAAACTAATGAAGCAAAATATTGGAGGCGGAGAATTTTCTCAGTTCCCCAATTTGTCACGGACAAGCTGCCACGAAGACGACGTTTCAACTTACGTTCAACATTTAAATGCCCTCTATTCAGATTTTGAATCTAGGTTTGAGGATATTTTGACTATGGTAATACCACCGTGGATAATTAATCCATATGGTGACATAGAAGAAACGAATGTCATAATACAAGAGGAACTGACTGAACTAAGTACAAACGAAGAACTTAAGGTTCAGTTTAAAAACGGATATCAGCAATTCTGGCTGCAAAACAACATACCGTTACTTATCCCGTATTATGGAATATAGCGAGGAAATTTTTAATTTCCTTTCAATCGTCATACCTAGTGGAAAGGGGGTTCAGTGCTGTTACCAATCTTCTAACAAAAAAAGAAACAGACTGGACATCATTAGCCGAGGAGATTTAAGATTGACCCTTACAAAATTGACGCCAAATGTTGATAATTTATTATTAAAGCATCAGGTTCATCCTTCTCACTAAAAATATTGACTTATTGCTTATATTATTTTATTTATAGTTTATTTTATGTTTATTGGTGTCTGACCAATAAATGCCCGCAATGGGAATAAGTGTCCGCATTGATTTTTTTAAAGAACCCCCCTTTATAGAAAATATTTTTTTTAAATTATTCTGATAATTCAAGGATAGGTACACACTAAAATTCGTTAATTTTTTGCCTATTTTTAGATAACTTAAACGTATAAGAAGCGGAATTTAATCAAACTAACAGTGAAATTATTGTAGAACATACGTTTATGTTATAAGTAATAAACGAACTCGCTTATTGTACTATTTTAAGTAAAAAACTTTTTTTTTTATTATTTTTCACTTTTTTTTAATTTTATCCCTCTTATTTTTTTTCCAATGCGGGCACTTATTCCCAATGCGGGCACTTATTGGTCAGACACCTGTTTATTTAATGTTACGTATATTTTACATAACAGATACAAAATTTGGTTTTGAGTAGTTTTAATTTAAATTCAATTAATAAATGTATAAATTAATATGTGTTTTTACTTTAAGTTTTTAGCACTAAACTTCACTACAGTTAGAAATTTACAGGAAATCAATATCAGGTAAGTAGGGGGTCTACCCAACACGAAAAAACATGACAAGGGGTCTACGACACAAAAAAGTTTGGGGAACTCTGATCTAGAGTATACTGATTGATGACTCTTCACCAACGGAAGGTCTTGGGAACCTTTCGCACCGGCGGACCTTCGGCGATCTAGCTCTTTTCTACCGCTACTCCAATGCTCTTTCCTCCTCAGAGCTCTCCTCCATGATGCCGCCACGCGCGATGTGCCTGCCAGCCAGACCCGCCTGACTTTAGCCTCACATTATAACCGTGTCGAACTTCCACAACTGTCCGATACGAGCGCTCGTTTGTCTCTAGGCTGTCGAGTTTGTGGAACAATCTACAATAGGAGGCTTTTCCCAGTTCTACTGTTCCAGTTCAAAAATCGGATTAACGAAGATTATTTGGAATCCTCATAACAGGTGCGATGCCCTGGCATTTAGGCTTCTGCCTGCGCGGCTGCTTCTGTGTAACATTACGACTTTGTATTTGTAATTAACCAAGTCACACTCATCCAATATAAGTTGTGGTTCATGAACTGTTTGATAATCATTAGAGCTCTAATGTACCCAGCATATTTCATGTGATGCAAGCGGTGGCGTTCTCTTTTAATGTCAGCCTGATCTAGACAGGGCAAAGATCGAACCATCGGACTTGCATAGGCATGCAACAATGCATTTCATTTTGCTTGCGCAAAAAGGAAATAATGAGAGAGTTGGTCGCGGTGCAGCGCCAGCAATGCGGAACGAAGGAACACAAATTAGTTAGGGTTGGTTCAGTGCATTAGACATTATATGGGATTGTATCATTACTGAATTATGTATATTAATCGCTCGTTGAATATGAAACGAGTGAGTAATATGGATTCACAAATTCATTTAATCTGTGGAACGCCTTCTATAACGGCCTAGAGTTTTCGAGCCGGCCTGGAGAATCCAAAAAAGTCGGAATCTGGTTCCAAAACATTAACTTCAGCTGCGGACTCGCAGGTATTATCTTTTAGTTCCCACGCGTACATGCGGTGTTGTAATCGCGAAAAATTTCGAAAATGAGATATTATGGTTTTTGGATGTTATATGACATGTACATCACGTCCGTTAATTCTATAAGCGTCTATACTACAACTATTTAAAACTGTAATGACTCATACGCGTGATCAACACGTGATCAGAGCTCGATCCCGGCTTCCTTCCAGTACAGCCGTATAGCGTACGACATATGTCGTTTCTGTGGCTTTGCGGTGGTCAACAGCACAGACAGAGATGGAAATAATGGCTGATTGTTCTCCGCCGGTAGAACCAATGAAATCAAAGACGCGCCTCGACCGGCAGACTCATAGGCGTCGGCAACGCATTGGAACGTGTTTCGTTGAGCGATCGCATATTGTGTGTTTTTATAAGAATTGTTGTGTGATTGTTATTGTTGTGGTTTCTGTGGTTACTGTTTTGGTTATACTTAACCATGGAGAGTACAAATGGCACGAGTGGAAGTACTGAAAGCCAGGGAACAAGTAGACGGCTTCGTAAAGCACTGAAGAGGGACGCGAAAGAAATCGTGCTCAACGTGTTCAATTATCTGAACAGAACTATGTCGCAGGGAGATGCACTCGCGTGCTGTGAAAGTATGACAGGCGTTCCAGAGTGGACCATTCGCAGGGTGGTGCATGAAAAGAAGAAAACTGGAGCTACTACTGATCCAAAGTTTAATTTGAAGGGACGAAAGGCCGTTAAATTGGATGACGATAGCAAAATGGCGTTAAGGCGAACCGTACATTCATTCTTCTTTAGGAATGAGATACCAACCCTCAAGGCTGTACATGCAGCGATCAAGGAAAATGAAATTATACCCCAAATGAGCGTCGAGGTAATGAGGAAATCCCTGCACGAAATTAATTTTCGTTACGAAACGCGTAATCGGAAGTCAGTATTGATAGAGAGACCTGAAATAGTCGCCTGGCGTCGAAAATACCTACGCGAAATGATTGATTATAGGCGACAAAGCAGAAAAATCTATTATTTGGACGAGACATGGGTAAATGCAGGTCACACAGTTAAAAAAACCTGGATAGACAAAAACGTAGTGAGTAACCGACAAGCAAGCATTGAAGGTTTGTCAACAGGTCTTCGTGGACCGTCAGGGAAAGGTCAAAGATTGATCGTAACTCATATTGGTAGCGATAGTGGCTTTTTAGAAGAGTGTGACTTGATTTTCGTCTCTAAGAAAGGAGGTGATTACCATGACGAAATGAATGCCAGCTGCTTCGAGAGCTGGTTTCAAGGGGTGCTTCAGCGAGTTGAGCCCAACTCTGTGATCGTCATGGATAATGCTTCCTACCATAGTCGTCGAGCCGAACGTGTACCGACTATGGGATCTCGAAAAAGTGACATGCAGGAATGGTTGCGCGAAAAAGGAATCCCGTTTGACGATTCATGTGTGAAAGCGGAATTGTATGAAAAAATTAAACAGCACAAACCTGCGAACATTAGTTACGTGACTGATGAGATGGCCCGTCAATGTGGTGTCACTGTGCTGCGGTTACCGCCCTACCACTGTGAACTGAACCCAATAGAGCTCATCTGGGCTCAAGTGAAGGGTTATATTGCGCGCCATAACACAACCTTCAAATTACCAGACGTTAAGGTTTTACTTGAGACTTCCATACAGCTAGTAACGCCCGAAGCTTGGCAGAATGCTATCCGTCATGTTGTGGAGGAAGAAACAAAAATGTGGCAGCTTGACCACCACATCGACACCATCATAGAGCCAGTTATAGTCAATTTCAACGAGGAAAGCGATAGCGACAGTTTATTACTATCAGATGTAAGTGGAAGCGACGATGAATAAAGGTAATTCCCAAATTTTTGACTTACAATATGTTTCAAACCACTCTTTATTAAGCATGTGACAAATCTAGTTCACCCATGTTAAACATTCATACCCCGCCTATGAACAGCCGACTACTGGTAGTTAAGTGATGTTCACGTGAACATCGATGAGTCATTACAGTTTTAGATAGTTATAGTATAGAGGTTGAGCGGTACTGCTCGGATTTTGTGGAAAGTTTTACACAAGGACGAAAAACCTATGTGGTCCAGTAGCGGCGGAGAAAAAGGTCAGAAGCGAAAAATAAAAATCGCACAAACTTGAATTTTCCAAGGATACTGATCATTTTCCGAAAAATCTTAGACGTTGGTATATTTATACGCCTCCAACCTCAGCACATATTGGGCATATTTCACTCAAAATTGAAACTTAGAAATATCTCCAGCAGCCGGGCGTCGATACGTGGGACGTGGTCCCCCGATGGACAAGCGTAGACGGCGGTGGTCGTACGTCACAGTCGGCAATCGCATCTGCACTACTGTGGGTTGACTGTGCATTGTGAAGGCCAATATCTTCATTACGCGAGATTGGTCATCGCAACGATCAAGTGCGCCTGCAGGAAATATTTCTCTCAGGGGGGAGAAGGAAGGTCATTTAATTTCCTATTATACGTAGCAGGTTTTTCCTTGTTTCAAACATAATCATTTACGAACTGATGACAGCATAGCATGGAAAGCGCAGAGTCAACTGATTTTTTTCTTTGCTTCGTGATTCTGACAAGTTTCATTTACCTGTAATAAAGCGTATGCGTATGTGAAGATTTTCAAAAACTGCTGTACATCTATGATCTGTAAATGAAGTAGATTCCAAATCCGACAGCAGTTCGACGCTGGGACCCAAAGAGAGTTTCAAAAAAGCAATTTAGTCGTATCCAAGTTCAGAACCTCACATTTAAAAAATTTAACAAGCCTGAAAAAACGACAGCCTAAAAAAACGGGAATTCTGTCTTACAAGGTCGAATATCTTTAGGTTTTCTATGAGATCTTAACTTGATCGTAAAAAGGTTACATTCTATGTTGTGTTGTTTTTTATTATTTTTTTAAATGATTTATTCCGTCGTTTTATTCAGGAAGCATCTTAGGTTGTTTCTAAGGCTTATTTTTTTCACAAAAGCTCATTATTACTTTTTACCACAATAATAAAAATTGCCATTCATTATGACCACCAATAGTATATCATATGTAGACTAAGCTGCACATAAAATTTTCATACTGGTACATGCTTAATTGAAATGCTCATAGCTTCGAAAAGTTTCTTGCCATTCCGAATTTCCTCAAGTCGATATACAGATTAACTAAAATAAATGCTTTTGAAGCATTTCTAGTA